TGGGGTGCTATAGAAGGCAGGCTTTGCGTCTGGCTGTGTTCATTTAGTAGACCGTCTTCCGTGTCCACCAGGAGAGCTGCGTCCACCAGAATCATGCCTGCTCCCAGCCCGGCAGCGGCCCACGGTGCGATGGACAAGCTCGTGTCTCTGTTTACCTATTAAAGCACGTTTGGAATGTTCTTGGGTTTTGATTAGGATCAATAAAGCTGCTATAAACAGTCACATCCCAGGGTTTGTGGGAACCTGCGTTTCTAGTGTGGATTGCTAGTCACCTAGTGAATGTGCATGTGACTTTGTAAGAAAGTCCCCAAAGGTTTCCAAGGGGGCTGCACTTCTGCATTTCCACCACGCCTCCACACATGCTATTGTCAGACTGAACTACAGGAAACATCACTGTAGTCATGCTGGTGGGCTGCTGTGGTTTCTCACGTGGTTTGAATTCACCTTTCTCTAATAAGCAATGGTGTTGAACACCCTTGGGAGGGATCATTTGCTATCTGTATGTCTTCTTTTTTAAATTTTTTTTTAGTTATACATGGAAATAATACCTTTATTTTATTTTTATATGGTGCTGAGGATCAAACCCTGTGCCCTCCACATGTGAGGCCAGTGCTCTACCACTGAGCCACAACCCAGCCGTCTGTACGTCTTCTTTAGTGAAGTATCTGTTCAAATTTTTTGTCCACTTTAAAAACTGAGTTTTTTGTCTTCACGTTATTAAGGTTTGAGAACTCCTTAAATATCCTGGATATTTAACATATTAACATATGTTAACAGATATGTTTTTCAAATGCTTGCTCCCAGTCTGAGGCTTATCTTTTTGCTATCTTTTTTAAAAAATATATTTTTAGTTGTAGATGGACACAATACCTTTATTTGTTTATTTACTTTTTATGTGGTGCTGAGGATCGAACCCAGGGCCTCACATGCGCTAGGTAAGTGCTCTACCACTGAACCACAACCCCAGCCCCTCTTTTTGTTATCTTAATGGTGTCTCTTAAAGTGTAGACACTTACAATTTTGAATAAGTCCAGTTGATCATTTTTTTTTTTTCTTTAACAGATTCTACTACATGGTTTGTGTCTAAGAAATCGTCCCTGGTCCAATGTTCTCCTATGTTTTCTTCTGGAAATTCTAGATTTGGGGTTTTATATTTAGGTCTGTGTTTCACTGTGAGCTCTTTTTTGGTGGGTATAGGCTGAAACTGTGCCTTCTGTGTTTTGAAATGGCAGAGGTAGGCAGACCCACGCAGTGGGAGAGTGACGGCCGCCCCTGCTCACCGGGAAGCTGGTTACCCATCTAGGATCGGGTCAAGCTTGCTTGCTTCTTAGTTGTGATTCTCTGCTTTCATTAGCAGCCTTCCCTGTGTCAAGCCGTTGTTCTTGCAGCCTTGAAAGGTGTTGCACATTTTGTTTTTCAGTAAATGAATTCAAGACCCACAGATCTCTTCCTCCAGACTATTTTTACAAACATGTTAGGAAACTGCTTCTGAGTCCAAAGTCAGGTCTGAGATATTTTTTAAATATCTCAGGAGGTGCATTGTATTTGGCAGTAAGGGTGGGCACTAGTCCCAGCGGAGGACTTCCCACTTTTCCTTCTGGATACGCAACACCAGGCAAGGAACATGACACAGGCACCATGTGAGGTGCTCAGTCACTCACAAATGTCAGGGACACTTAGCTCTCTGTAAAATGCTACACATTTGCACTTGTAGTGTCTGGATTGTCGACGCATCCCACAGCTCTCTCGCTGTCCTGACCTGATCAATAACGTCAGCAGGTTGTGATGGGAGGTTATCTGTTTGGAGATGGGGGCTGACATCCTCAGACAGCAAGCACCTCCCATGTGCCCTGTGGCTTCCCGCCATCGCCTGGTTGGCGCACTCCTCCTCCAGAGCTGGTGCGTTCCTGAGGCTCTTCTTGAATCCTGCTGGGGTCCTCTCGTGGCTCCCCTGGGCCTTCCTTTGAACATGAGTGAGGCTGTCGTGGATCACAGGCTGGGGCTGGGTGCATCCGGTGGTCCTAGAGATGGAGAGCTCTCCTCTCACCCAGCGAGTGCAGGTGTGGGGTGAACACTGACCAGCACCCAGGAAAGCCTGTAGTGAGACCAGGACTCACAGAACCCAGTGAGGAAGGAACTGGAGGGGGGAGCTGGCCACCTCCCTTATCTGCAGTCTTTAGGTGAGGGTCAAAGCAGAGCAAGCCTGGCTGCAGAGTAAGGAGGTGCTCACCACATCCGCAGGACTCCACCTGCTTGGGGACAGCGACCGAGCTCATGCACAGCTCATTAGCACAGGGGGCTCTCCACTGTACCCCCACACCGCCAAGAAGCATGTGAGTGATAAAATGTCCAAAACCTCTCTTTTGAGTCCTCCAAGTTCTTTTCTGGGATCAGTAAACAGCTGGGACTGTGCAGCCCTCAGTGCTCCGGGTGACGTGCTGGCATGTGGCCTGTGGCCCCGTGGACACCTCTGCCCTGGGTGTCTGGCAATGGGAGAGGGGGTACCCACCAAGCCGACTGTTTACACTAAGTGGTTGGTCACACAATTTGAATTTGGGGTTTGCGTGCTTTTGCCCGTGGCTTTGAAAAGCCCCTTATTCCATGAGCTTGGGCAGGAGTCACTCAAATTCCAACACCGGCAGGTGCTTTCCTCCAAGCCTCCTCAGGCTCCCCTCCACCCCTGTACTGCACCTCTGTTCTTGGGAAGGAACCCTGTGGCTTCTCTGTTCTTTGCCTTGATGGGCTCCACAAACCCCGTGGACTCCTCAGTGTCCAGCAAGGCCTTGACCATGACCACATGAGCTGTGCAGGGTTCAGGCTAGGCACCCTGGAGAGAAGAATTCCCAGGCCTTCCTTCCTCCTGCACGGATCCTAGCCACAGGGCATGAAATGATGCGAGGAACAGAGAGAGCTGAGTTCCCTGCCTCTGGAACCATCGAGAAGCTGGGATTTGCAGAGGAGAGGGGCAGTCCACGGCTTCTCCTTGCTGAGGACGAGCATCTGGCTGCAACGGGAGCTGGCTGCAACGGGAGGCCCCTCTGCTCTGGCCGGTGCAGCTTCCCGCTGTTCTCAGATGGAAAAGGCAGGTCTGGCCCAGCTTTTGAAGAACAGGCTGAAAGAAGGTTGCCTGCTGTTCTCTTTCCCCACGGGGGGCCTGTGTGTGAGAGAGCCAGGGCCTTCTGCTGTGTGGGGACCAAGGCAGCGTGTGTGTGTGTGTGTGTGTGTGTGTGTGTGTGTGTGTGTTTTCATCTCTAAGTTCTTCCTTCAGCAGGTGGCTGTTGGCAGCTCCTTGGGCACTTCTGGTTATGTCCAGTAAGAAATAGAAGGCCTCTTTGCCTTAATGCTCCAAGTGAAGGCACTGAGCCTCGTGTCCGCTGGTCTGGATTGGCCAGGGTGCCTACCTTTGAACCAATCATGTGGAAAGAGGATGGGAATTCACCGACTGGCTTAGTCCAGGTCGTGTGCTTTATCCCTGGACCTGGGTCAGGCTCCTGAGGCCCAATTAGACCCTCACCTTCAGAAACAGAGGCTGTTGGGAAGAAGGCACAGAGGCCAAGCAGATAACCAGTAGGTTTCTGTCTAACTGAGGTTAGGGGTGTCTCTCACTGACAGAGAGGGCTGAGTACTGGGAGGAAGGGTCAAAGGAGCAAAGGTATGGTCACTGGCAAGTCTGTGGTGCCAAGGCTGGTGTGCACTGGCCCATGGGCTGTGTGCACTGTCCATTCACAGCAGTGTAAAGATGACCTGGATCCAAGGACCACATGGGGGTGGGTTGAGGGAAGCCAAAGACAAAAACCAGCCCTGACTCCAGGGAGCTTATGGAGGGTGCAGCATTCCCTGTGAGTCTCAGATCCTCTTCCGTAAAAGCCCTTGTCTACAGCCTGGCCCTCGCCAGCACTGCTGCCAGCCCAATCCATCCCTCCAAGCCCAGAGTGCTCCCACCACTGCACACGGACAGGCCCCAGTGACAGGAGCGTCTGCCTGCGTCTTCCCCTCCAAGTCCCCTTCTCCAGTGTCCACCCACCATGCTGACGCAGGTGCTTAGCTGCAGACTTGCCTGTGACTCTTACCTGGGGGTGAGAGCTTTTAGCTCTCTTCTGTCCACCACCCTTTCTGACATTTGCAGAAATGACAGAAACCTCTGTGTTCTAGTGTTCATCTTTGCAATTTAAAGAATTCTATGAATAGAAATTCCTCTTGATTCTTATTTCATGGTCATGTGGTTGGGCTGCTGGGATGGATCATGCAGACTTCCACGGGGGTCAGGCTCTCTGGTTTCAAACCCCAGAGCCTCAGTTTCCTCCTCTGTGCAATGGAATTAATAATCACAATCACCATTTGGGAACGTTTGCAAAATTCTGCAGCCAACACATGCCAGGGGCTTATCCAGGTGGGGAGGTGTGTCCTGGATCACGGAGCAGAGCTGGTCCACAGGCACCCAGACCCCTGCAACAGCCCGCTGCCCCGTGGAGCAGGAGGAGAGTGGAGGAGGGTCAACGGTGCAGGGGGTTGGTGGTCTGGTTCTGGTGCCAGTCTTGATGAAGCCTGAGCACCCAGTCCTTGTGCCAGAGATCCCCTGCAAGGGGAGGGCAGAGGGAAGGAGGGGCCTGGGAGAGGAGGAGAAGGGTCGGGAGAGAGAGCAGGGGAAAGAGAAAGGGAGAGAGCGCGCCCCTGCGCGAGGGGACCCTGGGTGCCTAGCGGGGCCTGGCCAGGCACACTTAACATGTCCTTCATGTTCCCTGCTCAGCCACCCGCTGTTAAAAATAGAACCGCACTTTGCAGAGAGATTCTCAAATGACACCCACCAAGTGCCCATTAACTCATCAGAGTGGTGATTCCAAATTGATTATTTCGAGTGTAAGACATAATAACATGTTCATCATGGAAAATAATTAGCGGTGGAGTGGGCCGGGATGGCCTGCTGCCCGCCTGCCCGGCTCCCCCGCCAGGGCAGAGAGCGAGGGACGGGTGTCGCGAGGGCGCCGCCGGCTTCCCCGGGTCACCTGCCGGACCGTCGGCGGCCCCGGGCCTCTCCAGGCCCCTCGCGCGGCCGCTCCAGCCGGGCAGCTGGGGGCCGGGCTCCCGCGGGCAGCGGGCGAAGATGACCCCGCTCCCCCGCCCACTCCGCAGCGCCCTGCGCCCCGCCGCACCGTCGCCTAGGAAACCGAGTGGCTCCGCAGCATCCCGCTGACACGCGCACGCGCACGCATGCCCCGCGGGAAGGTCAGGCCCCGCGCATCCCTCCGCCCCTTCCCCGCAGACCCCGCCCCCAGGAGCGCGGAGACCCGACGCGGAGATGCCCACCCCGGGGAGGGGAGCGGGGCGAGGCCCCCCCTGGGAGAGCCTGTCTAGGGCCTTCGTGGGTGGAGGGCAGCAGGCAGCCTAGGAGAGCGGGGCAGGGCTCTGGAAGCGGAGTGTTTGGGAAGAGGCTCTCCCTGCCCTGGTGGGCGGCGGTCCCCCAGAGCCCCCTCCCCCAGTTCTGGTCCTTCTTGAACTTGCCTTCAGCTGGAGAAACCAGCCTCCCCAGAGTCACCCGCCTTTGCCAGCTGCCTGTATTCCCCTTGCCCCGCAGACACCGCGGTGAAGCCTGGTCGCCTTGTCTCCCCTGGAACAACTCCAGGGCCCCCCAGCTCCAGAGCTGCTGCAGGATGGGGGGCTGTGTGGGGGCTGCACAGCAGCTCCCGGTCTCCTCTCCAAGTCACCTCCCTGCAGGAGGCCCTGTGAAGGCCTGTGACTGCTGAGCACCTTCTTTCCTTCCAGCCCCCCTCCTCGAGTCCTTTAAACACCTACTGTGTGCCACACTCTGTCCACAGGGCTAGGTTCCTCTTCTTTTGGACAGTTTATTCAAAAGACAGAAAAGAAATGAACAGCAGGAAGAAGATTGGGTGTGTGTGCTCTCTGCAGGCTGAATCAGGGTGATGAGCTAGGAACTGGCAGGGGGAGGGGACCCCACTTTATATAGGGTGGCCAAGCAGGGCCTTCTGAGCAAGTGACATTTAAAAAGAAATTTGAATGACAAGGAGAAGCCAGCAAGTCTGAAGAATGAAATAAAGAAATTTCCAGACAGAGGGACAGCAGGTGCAAAGACTCAAGGTGGTACAAAGTTGTCATGTTCAAGGGACAGAGAAGAGGTCTCTGATGTGACATGTGTGGCAGAGGGGAGATGGCAGCAGGGCCAGATCAGGTTGCAGGGCTTTGTACCCCAGCAGAAAAGGCTGGGATCTCCTTCCAGGTGCCAGGGGATGGCATGTGGGAGGGGCTAAGCGGGAGTGACTGATGTGATGAAAAAATATTTTTAATTAAATTAAAAAAAATTTTGTGCTGGGGATCAAGCCCAGGGTCTTGAGCATGCTAGGCAAGCACTGTGCCACCAAGCTACACTTCCAATTCCTGAAGGTTTGTTGTTTTTTTAAGTTGTAGTAAAATATACACAATATAAAACGCACCATTTTGACCATTTTTAAGTGGAGAGTTCGGTGGCATTGAATACATCCGCAGTGTGTACCCACATCACCACCATCTATCTCTGAAATATTTTTATCTTCCCAAAGTGTCCTCGTTAAACACCAACTGCCCTCCCCCAGCCCTTGGGACCCCACTCTACTTTCCTTCTCTATGAATTTGATTGCTCTAGGGACCTCCTGTGAGTGAGGCCATGTAGCGTTTGTCCTGTTGTGACTCGCTCGTGCGTGCCCCTTGGCATTGTGTCTCCCAGGGTCAATCCACGTGTGCATCAGAATTTCCTTCCTCTGAATGGTGGTACCTAACCTTCTCGCTGGGCTCTGGTCACAGGCATCTTCTGCCTACACGCCTCTGACATCTATGTCTAAGCCCCTGTCTGACCTGGGCTCCCTGGTTCCACTTTCCCCTTCTGTGAAATGGGGTGACAGCAGCACCCTCCCAGGACTGGCAAGAGCTGGTGGAGATAATGGAAAGAGGGGCTTGGCATGGAGCATGCACCTGGATTCTAGATGGAAAGTGGGGGATCACAAACCACTGTTGGCACAAAGGGTCTAGGTGCAGAGTCCCCGTCAGTAAGGTCTGGGTAACCCTCCTGAAATCTGTGCACCCAGACGCCAGCCAGAGCCGGCCTCCCAGAAGCCTTTCTGTGGACGGAGGTCTGAGGCCTGCCACAGGGCCCTTAGGACGTATTGCCTTCATGCTGTGCCCTGTCAGGTGACGTGGAGTTCCGGTGGGAGTTGGGGTCCCTCAGGCTGTGTTCCCAGGGCAGAGGAACCCTGGAGCTTCCCTGAGAAAGGTAGACGGGGAGCAGCAGCCCTGGCTTAGGGGGGTGGTGCCCCTTGGGCACAAGGGCCCCTTCTGTGAATGTGTGCACACACACCACAGGCCTCTGGGGTTCCTCCAGGTACCCCAGAGGAAGCCTCTGAAATGGCCCCAGGCACTGACCACTGGCCAGCTCAGAACCACAACCATCATCAATAACTCACTTTACCCGTCTGCTCTTTGGGGCACTGTTGGTCCATGAGAAGCCTGTGAGGCTCCCAAATGTGGGCTGGCAAGTCGGGCATCAGGAACCACCCGTCCGTGCGAAGCGCTCTCAGGCACAGAAGTGTGGTGGCCAGGGCGGAGTGGTGGGCTCTGGGCTCCTCCTGTTGCCTGCTGTGGGTCTTGGTCTCCGGTACCCCTTCCCTCTGCTGTTGTTGGGGTTCCTCACTGGCCACCCTCTCCACTTGTGGAAATTGGAGGCCCAGGGAAATGGGGTGCTTGGTCTCCTGGCACAGCCAGGAAGAGGTGGCGCTCTGGATGGGAGCCCCTCAGGGCTCTGAGCTCTGCTGTCCACCCTGAGAGGTGCAGTTCCAGGAGCAAGGCACTCCCCCATTCCCCCCTGTTCTAGCTCAGGGACACCATGTTTGCCCACAGGTGGCCATGAGCCACCAATTGTGAGCTCCTTAGAGACCTAGAAGGCGTGCTCAGGAGTTCAAGCTCCGCGTACACCAGTGGTGCTTAATAATTCTGCTGGTTGATATGCTCATGCTCTCCTGGTGGCCAGGATTAACACCGTGATTCTGTCAGCTCATCATCCCTGCATGGTGGGTAGTCAGGTTCCACAAGGCCAGTCAGAGGGAGGAGGACTGACTGGTCCTCTTCTGGCCACGCAGGGTCATTTTGGCTCCTTCCTGTGGCTGGACAGACTCAGGTCCAACCCCACATAAACGGCACTGTGGTAGGAAGTTTCCTTTACTCTCATCACTGCCGTATCCCCAGCCTGCTGACCAGCACCTGGCACCCAGTAGGCCCTCAGTAAACCCTGGGGGCTGGAGGGGCTGAGGAAGTGCCCCGGGGCCCCATCTGTCTTTCCGTCCTTGCCCATCCCGGACTCCACTGCAGCTCGGTCTGTCCGAGTGAAAGCAGGAGTGCTCTTGGGCAGGGGAGGACCGCGCCTCCTTGACCTTCATCCACGGAGAAGGCTGACCCTAGGCGGCCCTGAAGCCACAGAGGCCGGCACAGCCTCCAGTGGGCCACCGGCCGGTTCTGGGAGTCGGCCTGAGCAAGCTACCGAGGCCCCTGGCTGATGGAGATAAGGTTGATAAACAGGCCAGTACCTTCCCGCCGCCCTCTTTTAGAGACCCGCTATTCTTTACGGCTTTGCTCAGGTAGATCATTCGGCGCCATAAATTTTCTTATCTCCAGTGCTTTTCCAATTATGGATAACAACAGAAAAGCCGTCATTGGCTTCTAAAAGGTCATCAAGATATAGAGCCCACGCGGGAAGGGGATGACGGATGCAGTTGGCTTGTATAAATCTCAAGAAGTTTTATGCACGAGTCAGACGAGAAACGTAAGTGAGATTCATAAAATATATAAAGATTTATGGGGTCTCTGTTGATGAAAATTGCCTCTCCTTTTGCTGTTTGTGTGGGAATTACTTGCTCTTCCCAAGTGTTTTACATATGGATTGCGGGGAGCCGAGAAGTCCTTATGAAGCCCTGCCCATGGCTAGTGCATCCCAAGGACATGTGGCAATTGGTCTCCACCTCATGGAACAGCTGGACGGAAGAGGTCATGGAAACCACGGGTCTGCAGGACACCAGAAATGCTGGCGTCCCATGGACAGTCAACTGGCTCCTGGTGACACCGTCCTCCTGACACGTGAGGGGTGGGACGTGTTGGTCTGGCTTTGATTGTCCCGGGGCAGGTCTGAGCCCGCTGCCTGGGAGCCAGTGTGGGTTCTCAGCCTCCCAGGGCAGGTCTGGGCAGCAGCTCTTGTAAGCATTTCCCCAGGGGCTTCGCACGCACCAAGGAGGAGAGGAGGAGCACCTGTGTGGAGCTTCCTCCTCCCTCTGTGGAGAGTGCAGAAAGGTGAGGTGGCACTTAGTGACACCGTGACACCCTCTGCTTTGCAGGGACTTGTGATATTATCAAAGACAGAACCGTGATGCCGATGTGGAGAGCGCCAGGCGGCGCATCTCGCGGAGCTGTTGATGTAGGCTGATCAGAAGGCGGACCCCAGCCCGAGGGTCTGCATGCGTCAGCTTCGCGGGACTGTGAGGAGATCCTGGAGGCCGCTTCTTGGGAAGACAAGGAGGGTTCTTGAGCTCACGGTTTTGAAGGTCAGGGGACCCCTTGCTTTGGGCCTCTGGTGAGGGTGGCCGTTCATGTTGGAGAGAATGCCCTCTCCACCAGCCAGCAAACAGGGAGACTGCGGTTCCACGGTCCCCTAGGTCCCCTGGAGGCTACGTCCCCAGTGACCCGAGGACATCCCACCAGGCCCACAGCATCTCCAGCAGGTCTACCCTGGGGACCAAGTCTTTAAAACAAAGCCTGGGGACACTGCCCGTATTCACACCATAGGTCTCTGCTGCTCTTCAGCTGTCCCTTGCTGTGCCAATGCAGCAGCTGTACCCACCCAGAGCAAGGCACAGAGGGGAAACTCAGACGCGATGGAGTCCCGCACCCTGGTGCAGAGGTGGGCTGCTGAGTGTCCCACAGCTGGCCCCCAGGGGCGGGCAGTCCTGATGGCCTCATTTCCTCATGCCCATGATAAAAATACTCCCGCTGTGGCCAATTTCAAGGGCACTCTGCTGACCTTGGAGCCAGGGTGGGC